CAGATGAAACCCACCCAGGGGAGCCCAGAGGAGCAGGAGTTTGCAAATGGTAAGGAAAGAAAGCAGACTCTAGCAGCAGAGGCCGCAGCTTGCATGCCTGCATTCTTCCTGTGTGCACCCGCCCCTCTGCAGCCACACAGACTCTGGCCTCTCCCTCTCCACCTCTTCATCCTCCTCTCATGGGGGCAACCTCTCGACGTGTAGGTTCCATCAGGGCGGCCTTCAGCCTGCCTACTTCACCCCTCCCTTCCCACGCTTGGCCTCCCATATCCAGGCTTGGAATTCCAAAAGCAGAGCGTGAGTAGTCCAGCCTGGTTACTGCCTGCCTGGCTCCAGTCAACAGCTGAGGGAGAATGATCAGGCTGAAGCTGGAACCACTCAGTTGGTAGAGGTGTGTGTCCCCTCCAACCCTGGGGGACTCTCATGAGTACCCTGGTTATTGCCATGGAAATTGCATAGTCTCACATATTTCCCAAAGCAAGTTTGACTCAATTTAGTTCAAGCACACATATTCTTGTGCTGAATTTACATAAGCTGTCTACTCTCCCTTCCGAACAGGTGACGTGTGACATTTGTTTAGCACAGCATCAGGCTCAGAATGTCCTCACTCGGGTTTCGGTGGGTCCCAAGGGCAGAGACTTTCGATATGCCCATCTCTAGTCCAAATGCGAGTAAAATTGAGCAGGCGTATGTAATTTCTGCGATTTGTGAGTTAACCCCCCAGCAGTCACGTAGCTCAGTACCCCTCAGCAAGATTGTCAGGATGCATTGCCGCTCTGCCTGGGACAGAAGATGACTGTAGACAGTCTGCCCACTCACTCCTAGCCCAGCAAGACTGCCGTGCTTTCTAAACGTATCAGACTCCAGAAGGGACACGCGCGAAGCTTCTTTAGGAATAGCTAGCTGCGGAGGGACTTGCAAGATGGCCCAGAAGGTAAAGGAGTTGGCTGCCATGCTTGATGAGCGAGCCCTAGGGCGAAACGCACATGGCAGGGGGAGAAACTCCCACAGGCTGTCCTCTGGCCCCCCCCCCCCGCACATTCGACAAGGCCCAGCGCACATAGAAATAAATGTAATTTTAAAAATAAAGTTTAAGAGGGGCTAGAGAGATAGTGTCCTGGTGAGTGTTTCTAGTGTGATAAAACACCATGACCAAATTGGGAGGGCAAGAGATTATTTCATTTTGCTGCTTGTAGTCCCTCATCCAGGCAGGGCAGGGCTCAAGGCAGGACCTTATACAGAGGCCATGGAGAAACACCGATCACTGACTGATCCCATGGCTTGCTCTGCCTACTTGCTTTCTTTTTTTATTATTATTATTTTTATTGAGCTATATATTTTTTCTCTTCTCCCCTCCTTCCCTTCCCTTCTGCCCTCTCTCCTTAATCCCCATGCTCCCAACTTACTCATACTGCCTGCTTTCTGATAGCACTCAGGAGTGCCTGCCCAGGGATGGGCCCTCCCTCACCAAACAGTAATTAAGAAAATGCCCCACGGACTTGCCTATAGGCAGATTTTATGGGAGTATTTTCTCTTTTGGAATTCCCTAGCCCAAATGTCTCTAGCTGGGGTCGAGTTGATAAAATACTCGCCAGGATAGGTAGTTTGGTAGCTAAGAGCACTTGTTGCTCCTCCAGAGGACTAGGATTTGGTTGCCAACACCCACATGGTGGCTTGTAACCACCCATAACGCCAGCTCCAGGGGATCTGATGCCCTCCTCTGGCCTTCATGGACACAGGCACATAAATGTGCTGTGCATAAACTCACGTAAGCACACACGCAGATGTGCATAAAAATAGTAAGCAATTCTTTAAAGTAAAACAGCAAATGCTAATGAATTCTTCACCAAATAAATAAATGGAGGAGAAGAAGTTAAGAAGAGTGGTCAGAGACCTATAATCTTAGTTACTCCAGAGACTGAAGCAGGAAAATCACAAGTTCAAGCCTGTCTAGACTATTGTTGAGTACAAGGACAGCCTGCATGATTTAGTGAGTACCTTGTCTGGGGCGGGAGTGGGGCATGGGGAGTGGGTGAGGGGGAATGCCTGAGGATATAGCTTAGTGATAGAATGGTTGCCCAGCATGTGTAAGGCCATGGGTTCGATCCTGAGCACCCTCCAAGAAATGGAGGGGGGGAGCTGTGAGGGACCAGAGGGACCAGCAGCTCTGGGATTGGGCCAGTGGAAGGTTTTATCTGTGACCCTGCAGCTGAGCACCCCATTTTCCAGCCAAGACCTGAGATGTTGAAGAAACTGCCCAGAATTTCACCATGCACTGCAGCCCTGCAGCCCCTGGCCTGGGTTGGCCCCATACCCAGTCCTTCACACAACCACCCTCTAAGAGGGAGCTGGGCCAGAGAGGATGCTGGGCTACATCAAAGTCTTCCTGATCCATGTGTCCTCTTTGGAGACCAGGGAACTTAGCCACACTGGGGCTCTGGGCTTCAGAGGTTGGCCAGTGGTTAAGGGACAAGGGAAGGTCTGATGGTAGGAGGGCCTTAAGGTCAAAGTCAGCCTCGGGAGCAAAATGTCCTGGTGTAGAAGGGAGCAACATGAGCACAGAAGGCCACAGGGACACGTGAAACAAAAAGGGCAGGTGACTTTCAGTATATCTCTCCGCTCTGTCTTTATTTAAATTGATGTGCAAGCACACTTAGTTGGTATTTACACAAACATTTGTATTATTGCTTTAAATAGGAAGCTATGTATAATAGAATAGCGCCTACCTGGATCTCAAGAGGTGTGTTTTGCAGCTGCAAACCCCTTATGACTGTCTATGTCACCATCTAGTGGTCAATCTTAGAACTGCTTGCAGTGGGTCAGAATAAACAGTCTTCCCATAAGGGCAACACAATGGAGCTTGTTCCGGAGGTAACAGATAATGTGAGGATGTCTAATGCCCATTTAGAACAAGCCCTTGAAATCCATTTCCCTATGATAATCACTGTAGTGCGCTAAATGGAGTTCTTCCCTATCTGCACACACCTTTGCAGGCCTGCTTGTTGGTAGCCCCTGATCTGTGGTGAGCCCCGATGGACCAGTCTCCGATAACTGACCTTACATATACAGAAGTCTAAACCAATACTGACAGCAGTTCCTGGGGTCATTCTTGGGCTTCAGGGGGACAGGTGGGCTAGAGTAGACAGCCGTAGGCTGGACTTTGGGGGCCTGGATTCTGTCCCCTCTGCCAATATGATCTTAAGTGATGGCCACTTTAGCCTTCCAAGCTCCAGTTTTCCTATCTGTATGGTGAGAGGTTTGCTTTGATCAGAGGTGACCCACAGGAAGAAGCCTCCTAGAGACCCATTTGAAGTGTCCAGCCTCAGTAGCAAACAGTTCCATGATCCATTACGTATGTCTGCCCTGGGCATTGGTAATACTGACCACTGTCGGTACTGACACACAGGGCATTTTCTGTTCTTGAGACCAATGACCTCTGCAGGTCTCCTCCCCCAGCTTGGAGAGGGCAAAGCCTCCTGTGTCCCAGGAGACCTGAGGCTGTTTTTCTCTTTTTGCACTCAGCTCAGACTCAGGAGGGTTTGTATAAACACGTAAGTCAGAGCAGGGAACAGTTCCCTCTCAATCAGCTGGAAAAGGAGAAAGGATTCCCCACACACATACAGACACACACACACACACACACACACACACACACACCACCCACTTTGTGAGAATCAGCTCTGGTTCTAAAAGTCATGAACCTCAAAAGAAAATGGAGGTCATGAATCCAATCCATTAACACCCCCAGAAGCATAAATGCGGCTCTGAAAGGCTCTGCAAACCATGGGATTGCACCTCTGTGACCCTAGCACCCAAAAACTGAGGCCAAAGGATTCCAAGTTCTAGGCCAGACTGGCTAGATATCAAGACTCTTAACAAAAAAAAAAAAAAAAAAAAAAAAAAAAAAAAAAAAAAAAAACCTTTTTAAAATAAAAATCAAAGCTTCTTGAAGTCCACAGAGAGCCCATGACTTCCAGTGAAGGCCCCCGTTTCCCTACAGGTACTGAGGAGGGCTGTGCCTCATGTACAATGTACAAAAGGGGTCCCATGGTCCCCGTCCCTCCTCCCAGGGGCTTGTTGCTGTAGAGTGTCCTGAGGCTTTGCTGATGCTGAGCACTGTGCGCCTCCAAGAGTGGCTGGAACAGGCAGTGTTCCCAGATGTAGGGCCTTGTGTTTACCAGGCTCCATGGAAGAGCTGCTGGGGCTGAGGCTGGCCCTGGATGTGATCCCTCAGGGAAGGTAGAAGAGCCGAGTGCTTCTCTGGGGAAGATGTCCCCACTCAGCTCTAAGCTCGTGTCTGTCCTGCCCGTGGTCTTAGCCGACCTAACTGGGTGAACATGCACAGGAGGGAAGGTTGTGTGTGCTGAGCACAGGCTGTGCGGATGAGTGGGGTGTGAGGTCTGTCTGCCGTCACTGGGGACCACGCAGCTCTGTCCAGTGGGCAGTGTCCCTGAGACACTCTCAAAGCCTGACAGTATGAAGGTGAAGACAGCCAGCATTTCCTGCACTGACTGCATGCCCTGCACGGTTGCACACCAAACATGCTGACAACCCACAGGGCTGACCGTTGGTCTTCACCCAGCTGGGTGACCATAAGGAGGCTGAGGCTCAGAGAGGTTAAATTCACCCAAGGCCACCCAGGAAACAATTCTTGCCATAATTCACACCCAGGCAACCCAGGCTGGGAGCCTCTGTTCTGAATTGTCCCTCATTGCTCTGAAAGTCAACCCGGGCATCCTCCTCCAAGCATGCCAGGTGCCATGACTACTAGCCTGTCAGCTAAGGCCAGGTCTGCTAAGGCTCAGCCCCAGGACCCAGGATGCTGCCTCTACCATACAGCACCGCAGCTGCTATGGGTCTCCCTTCTCCACAGGCTGGCGGCCATTGCCCTGTTGGTCCTGGAGGATGAGGAGAGTGCCTTCTGGTGCCTGGTGGCCATCGTGGAGACCATACTGCCGGCTGAGTACTACAGCAAGACGCTGACTGCATCCCAGGTGAGCTGGCTGCATCTCAGGGTGGGCAGTACCTGGTGACTGGTCAAGGCCATCCCCCAGAGGGGTTCCTTCAGGCCAGCAGATCCTGGGTCTCCTCCTCTCCTACACAGAGGCCTATAACCCCTCTCTGGCTGCTGAGCGGAGGGCCTGTAAGAGTATGAGGTCCTGCCCACCAGCGGGTGTGTTAGTCCAGTGGTGACATGATACCACTGGCAAGAGCTGATTCCTGGGGAGGAGAGAAAGAAATTAATGTCCCTTGCCATCTGCCAGTCAAGAATTGAGAGAGACTGCAGGGATAGGCAATGGACTGCAGGTGATGGCCGCCATCCCTACACATACACGTGGTTATACCATATCGCTAGGGAGGGTTTGGCTACCCGGAATCAGGCAGAGCAGGGCTCACAGTCCACTGGCTCTGTGACCTCTGCATATTACCACTCTAAACCCCAGGCTGGTCTATTCTAGAATAGGAATAAGGCCCCTGTGGACTTAAAAATTCTCAATGCAAAGTCATGCCTCGGTCCCCCACCCCATTTTTTGCGGAGGCAGCCTTCAGCTTTGACACACCCAGCCTCCCTCCTCACCTCTCTGCCCCCCTCCTGTCATGTCTGACACCTATATCCCATTCCTGGGCTGCCCTTTGGATGGCAGGGATCATGTCCAGCTGCAGGGAGAGAGAGCCAGCTTGGACTCTGAAGGACCGAGGGAAGGAACTGCATCCAGCCTCACAGAAAGGGAGGGCCCGAGAGTGGTACCTGGTCCTCAATGCTGTCAGTGGTCAGGCTCCTCCCAGCTCCCTTATCCACCATCCTCATACTTCCAAGTGGTTTCAAGAGGGATGCATCTCCTTAACCCTGTGGCCATGGTGTATGCCAGAAAAGTCAGACAAAGGTGGGGCTGGCCCTTTAATTCCACAGTTTCTACTTCCTGCTTAATTCTATTTTTTAATGCCCCCCCTTAATTCTTAAGGTCAGAACTATATCTTAGGTTTGCCCCCCCCACTGTAAGGCAGCCTAGGAAATACCATATTTCACCTCTGGATCTTAACGTCTGAGAGGGAAACGCACTGAACAGCAGCATCAAGCTCACCTTTGGTTTTATTTTGGTCGTGGAGAATTTGCCACATTCGGAACAGTAGAGAAGGTTCCCACCCAGTGTCCCTGGCCACCAGCAGAGGGAAGAGGCCTGTCCCCTGCCTTGACTGCCTTGGCGTGGATCACAGGCAGTTCTTTGGCTCTCCTGTGTCAGCTCTGATGACTCACCTGAGCTCTGGACTGGCAGTGGCCTCTGCGGCTACCATGCTTCTTCTGAGGGAGGGGGAAAGGCTGCCCTGAGTACTCAACACAGCAACTCTGAAGCCCAAACAGACTGGTATGGGGGCTGCCATGGTTCTAGACAAGAAGGTGCAGGAGGAAACGCGGATCAGGACCCTGCCGGGGAGGAGGGAGCCAGCCCAGAGAGTAATCAGTCCCCAGAAATAAATAAGCCACCAGGGGAAGTCACCAGCAGCAGTGGCCTTCAGCGTCCTGCTGTCTGATGTGGCAGGACACCGTTCTCCCCGCCAGTATCTGTCCCAGGCACTCACCCCAAGTGTCGGCCAATATGGATCTGAAGCCCAGAAAAGATGCTCCTGGCTTTCTGTGCCTGTGAGCATGAGATTGATTGCCTTGATTGCCAGGGACGCTGGCTGAGTGGAGGGGCCATGGACTTACCCACGACGAGGCACATGCCAAAGCCTGTTGTTCTGCCTGGGTATTCCACCTGTGCTGGAAGCCATAGTGATGCCACTGCACCCGCCACAGGCCTGCGCGCGCGCACACACACACACACACACACACACACACACACAGACCACCCCTGGTACGAGAGAGGCCCACCCAAGCAGCTCTGAGCGTATAGACCGCTGGGGTCCGAAGAGCAGGCGGAGAGGGAGACAGCAGGTGTGGCAGGTCTCTGCTGCCTTCCAGGTGGACCAGCGGGTGCTCCGGGACCTCCTGTCCGAGAAGCTGCCCCGGCTGACAGCACACTTGGGGCAGCACCACATAGACCTCTCCCTCATCACCTTCAACTGGTTCCTCGTGGTCTTTGCCGACTCCCTCATCAGTGACATCCTCCTGCGAGTCTGGGATGCCTTCCTCTACGAAGGGACAAAGGTGGGTATGCCTGGGCCCAGCTGCCCAGCCAGGCCTCACGGAATGGATAGCCTGCCAACTGTCAGAGCCATTTGGGACACCTGAGAACACAGCTCCTTAAACCATAGTGTTCTGTGCAATTTGAGAGGAAGCAGTGGCCCCACGTTTGAAGCTTGGCTCTGGTCCAAAACTTGCCTGTGACCTTGCCAGGAGATCTCGGTGGGGGCTGCCACAAGCAAAGATGCTGGTGATACTAACCCCTTGACTCCAGCAGGGCGCTGCTCCCCCGTGCCTTGGGGAGGGATCAGGTACTCAGAGACCAGATATAAAGCCACGCTTCAAGCTGTGCTCCCTTTAGGGTCTTCTGCCACCTGCTCTTCTAGCCCTCCCCCCTCCCCCGCCCCCCACACTGGCCTGCCAGGAATCTCCACATTCCCAGAGTCTCTGGGCTTCTCCATGAGCAGTACCTTCCTGGGCTCCTGCACCCCACCTGAACCCCCACCTTGCCCCAGGTGGTGTTCCGATATGCCCTGGCCATCTTCAAGTACAACGAGGAGGAGATCCTGCGGCTGCAGGACAGCCTGGAGATCTACCAGTACCTACGCTTCTTCACCAAGACCATCTGCGACAGCCGGTGAGCTGCCCACCTCTCTCTCGCCCACCCCTCCCCCAGCTTAGGAGTCCCGAGGGCCAGTCTACCTTCAGTCCATCTGTGTCCTTGTATGGCATACCAGTTCCCCAGCCCATCTGCACCCTGCCATCCACAACCAGGGTGTGGAGCAACCAACCCCACCACCCCGCCTATGCCCTTAGTTTCTCCGACTTGGAGCCTCCTGGCCACTTCCTTCACTGACACCACCGTCTCTTGGGCCTGGTCCATTTCTTCAAAGCTAAGCTCCTTACCCCTCCCTCCGGAACCCTCGTGAGCAGCCCTTCCCTACTGGGTCAGGGGCCTGCTGAGTTCCTTCTAGTTCCCGCTCTGGGTAGAAACGGTCCTGGAAGGTAAGTTCCAGAAGGCAGGGCCACCATCCCAGGGCAGACCCAGAACCAGCCATCATTACCCTGGCTGACTGTGCCTTCCTCCCAGGAAGCTCATGAGCATCGCCTTCAATGATATGAACCCCTTCCCCATGAAGCAGCTGCGGCAGCTGCGGGCAGTCCACCGGGAGCGGCTAGAGGCCGAGCTGCGGGAGCTGGAAGTGCTAAAAGCCGAGTACTTGGAGAGACGGGCTTCCAGGGGCAGAGCAGTGCCTGAGAGCTGTGTCAGCGAGGACGAAGGGGAAGGCGATGGCTGATCCGCCACTCTGCTTCCCAAAGCCTTTCTTACCTTTGCTGGCAGGAACACAGAATACAGGCCCGGGCCAGAGGTCTGCGTGACCCTGGAGAAGGCCTGTCCCCTCCCGTGCGGACAATGCTTGCCGGGAAGTCATTGGTTGGAGTCTCTCTTCTGAGCCTCCCAGGCTTGCCATCCTGTATTACAGCACCACAGAGCACTTTAGCATGTAAGGAGGCAGGAGGACACTCGGGATCGCCTGGAGCGTTCTCTGAGGCATGACTGTTTGGTTTGGCTTAGGTTTATTCTTCTGAGATCGGGTTTTGTGGAGCTCAAGCTGACCTCAAACTCACTACATAATTGAGCCTGGCCTTGACTTTCTGGTTTTCCTGTCTGAGGCACGTGGGCATAAAGCAACAACCCTTTGATGGATGTCTCTCCACCTTTAGGACAGCACACTCTCCTTACCAGTGTTCCTGAGCAGGCCAAGGTGTCAGGAATGTTCCCTGGCACCCTCTGACTCAGGGCCTTGGTCCCCATTCTTGTGGATTCCAAATTAAAGACCTGCATTTTCAGGGCATCTGTCTTTCCAGGCAGGAGCCCCTTTGAAGTGCCACCTGGATCCATGTTGAGACCGCCCTGCTCGAGGGGACTGTTTCTGGAGACCCATGCCCGAGCCTTCCTTCCTTTTTGTTTACAGCCTACTGGGGACATCCCAGGCGAAACCCCTGCCTGCCACCCTGAGGAACTCAGGACCGTGGGCCCAAACAGCTATCTTCTCTAACATGCCCTCGTCATGTGAGGCCAACAGGGCAGGGTTGGGAAGGCCCCAACCTTCTGGCTCGGCAGAGCAAGCTGAACACAGTTTTCTGGCCCAGCATAGCCCTGGTCTCCATGTTCTTCCTGTCTTTTCAGTAGAGAGGGCTGCCTGTCCAGTGTCCTCCCTACCTCGGACAGACAAGGAGCACAAGGGGTCTATATCTCTGCAAACTGGGGCTGCCATCGGAGTCTTGAGCCTTGAGCCTGGCGCTCAGAGGGCTGGGGATGGGGGGGGGCTAAGGGGGCTCTTCATGGAGGCTGTTCTGGATGCTCCCAAAGTCAAGGCTCCTGTGGAGCTGGGGCTACACCCATTGGATACAGGCTAGCATCTGAGAGCCATGGTGTGACCCTGAAGGCATGGCATGCCTGGCACCCACAGAGTACCTTCCCCACCCCACCCCCACAGCACACACCAGCTCCTGTGCTAAGGAGTCCTGTGAGCACCCTGCACTGGGGCTTGCCTGCTGCCCCTGCCAAGGCCTCTTACCTGCAGAGTTTCCAGGAAGTGGGAGAAGACGTAGGAGGGAGGGCTTGGGATCTGGGCTGTACCCTGACTGGCACAGTAACCCTAGCATGAGTCATGGAGGAAGAGGCAGCTCAGCCCTGTGGAGCACGCAGCAGAGTTAAAGTTGTTGCTGGGGCCTGGTGCAATGAAGAGCCCAAGGTGGTAAGCAGCCTGAGGAGACCTGGTGAGGTGGGGTACGGATATCCCCAAAACAGGCCAAACGGTGGGCACAGGCTGCTGGATAAACGGTTCCTTCTGCCCTTCTCTGCCACTCCCTCCCCCAAGCCACTGCCCCCACCTCTCCTTTTCCTCACTCCTCCCTCGAGGAGGTCTCTGCCCAAGCCCTTGCGCTCCTCCTCAGGGGACTAGGCCAGCTTTCTTACAAGCTACGCCCTAGAATCCTGGGCAAGCTTTGTTCCGTCCGTGTTGCTGGGCTTGTCCTCTGATGCTGTTGGGGCATGGAGTTCTGATAACTGTGGGAGGGTTAGAGTTCTGGGACTAATTGCCTCCTCCAGCCCCGAATGAGGAGGCAGGCTGAGAACAGCTTGTCTTACGGTTTTCACAGAGGCCAAGCTCTGGTGACAGGGCACAGAGAAGTTAATGAACTCCAATGTCACACAGCAGGGGAGGATGGCTGGGCCTGGTCTGTGATGGCCTGCGGGCACACCCACAGGGTTAACTCTAGGAAGAGAAAAGGGGGCGCCGTGTGTGTGTGGTGGTACACACTTCTGGTCCCAGCAGTCTGGGCTACACCCTGGGCTACATAGCCAGACAGTGTCTCAAAGAACAAAACAATAAAAAGAAAACAGATGCATGTCTGAGTTGTTTGAACTGGAACAGGGATGGATAAGGGGTACAGGGTGTCCTGAGCCTGAGAATATCGGGCTGCTGCTGGGCAGAGTCCGCCCCTCCCTCGGGGGCGTGGGGCCTACCCCTAGTGTCAGGTTCCTTGCTCGCCCCACAGCTGTTGCCCCTTCCCCAGGGATCACTGCTTCCTAGACTGGGGGATCTGATCCCTCAATTCACCTTCCTGCCCAGAACAGGGATGGGACTCCATGCTCCACCCCTCCCATCCCTGGACCAGCAGGCCTTATCACAGAGAACAAAGGGACTGGGTCAAAGGAGGGGCCTGGGGACCTGATAAACTCCTCAACCCACGTGGGAAGGGCCAACTCCCTTCCAGACTACTTTGTTATAGACCCTCGTCCTAGGGGCTGTCTTCTCTCCCACCTCTGCCCACAGACAGGCACATTCTATGGGAAGCTCCTCGTGGGACAAGCAGGTAGATGGAAATAAAGCAGTAGATGACATAAAGCAATGTCCCTGTGACAAGGGCTCTCCACCATCAGGACAGAAGCACTCTCATTACAGGCGCTCCCCTTGGGACTCCGTGCTCCCACCCCAGGAACATGGAGTTGAGCCTGGTTCATATCCTCAAATTAGTCATCGTCACTGTCCCCAACCCAACCCCATGTGGGGTTTAACCAGGCCCTAGTAAGCTGTGTCCCTGCCCAGTGTCCCCATGTGTGTAACTTGAGTTTTTAGGCAGAGTCTTCCACACTTGGGGCAGGACTAGGAGAAGGCAAGAGGAAGCAGGGAAGGTCCTTCCCCAGGCACAGAAGGGTCATGCCAGGTTTCAGGCCTCCCCTCTGATTCGTGGGTCCATATGTTCATGGTCCCCAGAGAATCTCTGTCAAACAAGAATGTCCCAAGACTGTCTCAGCCGCCAACTGGCCTGACACCCATGAACAAAGGTTTCTTAGAAGATGTCTCTGAAAGAGGGGATGGTGTGAGCAGAGACTTAGGGGGGTGATGTTGGGAGAGAGATACCAGAGAGCCTGGCTTCAGCCTTTAGTGAGCTGGGCCATTCAGGTGGCTCTCAGCCTGCTCCCAGATAACACCTCAGCTGACCTAACACGACGGTACAAATTTACAATCCCAGCTCTTAGGAGGTGGAGATGGGGTGAATTTGAGGTTCATAGACAGCTTAAGACCAACCCGGGCTTATGTATGTGGGGGACCATGTCTAAAAGAATAAGAAAGCAAACAGGCTAGCAAAATGGCTAAGAGGGTAAAAGTACTTGCCACACAGAAGCCTAACCCTAGAGTTCTATCCCTAGAAACCATAGAATATGTAGCATGGCAAAAACAAGAGAGACCTTGTCTCAACAAGATGGAAGGAAAGACTCAACTCCTGAAAGATTCCTCCTGACCTCTACACAAAGGAACACA